CGGCGGCCCCGCCGCCGCCTACCCCCCCGGGGGGCCCTCTGTGTCGGTGGCTGCCATGGCTTCTCAGTCCCTGCGGCCAGCTCACTTCCCCTGCTGCGACTGTGCCCCCTGGTGTCCACCTGACTTGCGGTCTCTGGCCCCCCCTCCAGCTAGCCAGCCCAAGCCACCACCTCCCCCTGAAGGTGCCCCTTCCCGCTTTCGCTGGCCCACTCACTCCAGCCAAAGAAGGGTGGTAGGCTCCATGCCAGGGCGTACAGCCAGACGCCCAGCAGGACCAGCGCCGCCCGCCGCTTGGACACCACACCCACAGCCGCCAGCGGGCGCGTGATCACCAGGTAGCGGTCCAGGGCGATGGCGGTCAGGGTGATCATGGAGGTGATGCCGAAGAGAGCCCCGCAGAAGGCGTAGAACTCACAGCCTGCGGGGGCCCTGCCTGAGTCGGTGCGGGGAGCGCACGGGTGCCGAGAGCTGGGGACCCCGGCTCCCGCCCTCCTCTCCTAGAAAAAGCAGGCCTGAGCCCCACCCTGCCCACACCCTGGAGGGGCTGGCGGAGGCCTCGGAACCAAGCCATCCCTTCTTGCCCGCTCAAGGGACTGAGGTCAGCTGCCCACCCAGCCCCTGGAAGAGCAGTCCTCCACTGTAGGCACATGCCCCGCCCCTTCGTCAACACACCCCGCCCTCCATCGCCACGCCCCGCCCCTCCATCGACATGCCCCTCTGGGTCCAGAAGGGGCACAGCAGGGTCTACCGGTTTCCCCGAAGAGCCACTGCTTGTAGAGGCTGCTGGCGAAGAAGACTGGGGCCTGGGTGAAGGACATGAGGAAGTCGCTGACTGCGAGGTTGATGATGAACATGTTGGCAGGTGTCCGGAGGCCTCTGCTCCTGGGGGGTCGGGAGCCCCGAGGGCCGCATGACCTTCCCTCACCCTTCCAGGGCACGTGCACACGCATCGTGCATGCAGCATACCATGCATGTGCCACACAGGTGCTGCACACACACACACGTGTGAACACGTGACAGGCGCAGCCGGGTGGTCCAGCTGCCCACTGAGCAGCTGCCGGGCCAAGAACCTGAGGGGTACCCTCAGGGGGCAGGCAAGCCAGGCGCTGGAAGGCTGCCGAGGCCCATGGAGGCTGGTTTTCCAGCGGGGCCCTTCTCTCTCCCCGTCTCGGGAGTCCCTCCCTGTGACCCATGCTCTCCTGGGACCAAACTTTCCATTCCTAAGTCCCTCCAAGGAGTGGCTTCATCCCAGGACCCCCGTCTGTGGCCTGCCGGTGCCTGGCCCAGAACGTCTCACAGGTCCCTTCCCTCAGCCTGCCCACCCTTCTTCCAGTGTCCCTTTCTGCCCAGCCCGTGGTGGGTGGCCGAGGGCAGAGGCGCCAACAACCCCACTCTGCAGACTCCGTCTGTCATCTCCACCTTTCCTTGTCCCTGTGGGACATCGCTGTTCCCACTCTGCAGACGGGAGCGCCCACACTGCCGTGCCTAAGGCGAGGTGGCCAAACTGTGACTGACGCACGTCTGGCTTAGCCCTCTCACTGACCCCACGGAGCTCCTTTCAGCAGACGGGAGGGAGCTGACGGAGGTGCGTGACGCCCGCCCTTCAGCTAGGGGGTGTCAGGGCTCGGTGCTGGCTCTGCCTGTGCCCCTTCTGCACATGCCAGGGCAGGTGGGGAGGGGAGCAGGGGTGGTTTCCAGGAGTGCTTGAGCCAGAGCTGCCAGGCAGAGGGAGGACACCTCTGGGCAGGTGGTGGCCTAGTGAGCTGGGAGCAGGGAAATGGGCAGAAACCAGTGTCTGAGGGACACCTGCTCCCCGCAGAGGGAGGAGGTCCCATTGGCGTGTGCCATTCATGTTTCCTGGGTCATTTTTGGCCCCTTTGCTGGGCTCGAAGATCTGGGCTTGGGCCTAGACCCTCAGGGATTGGCCCTGGCTTCCCTACCCAGCCTCAACAGTGGCCTGGCCAGCGCCGGCACCAAGGTCCCTGCCCCCTTGTTCTGCCCTGTCTCCACGTGGCTGCCCCCTTGGCACCAGCACCTGCAGAAGGTGTAGATGACTGTCAGGTTGCCCAGCATGCCCGTGAGCCCCACGAGCAGGATCACTGTGCCCAGGGTGTAGTGGGCGTGGTCCGGAACGTCGACCGTGGGGAAGGGCGCGCGGACCGCAGCCTGGGCGCCGGCTGCCTGTGGAGAGACGAGAAACGAGGACATCACGTTACCCTCTGCCGCCTCGGGAAGGAAGAGCCAGGAACCCAACGTGCAGGTGGGGAAATGAGGCTCCGAGTGGCAAAGCTCCTGCCCACAGAGCAACAAGGGGCTGAGCCGGGCTGGAAGTGGCCTTCCTCGGGCTGAGCCTGAGCTGCTAGACCATGGTGCAGGGCGTGGGGCTTCTCCGGGTGGGCTCGGGTCACCTGCAAGGCTGGCGGGACAGACGTGCCTGGCAAGCAGGAGTGTGGGTGACCCAGCCTTCCTGGGGAGAAGACAGCCAACTCCTGAGTCCCTCCCACCGTGAGCCCCCACTCCACTGCCAAGACTGTCCGCCGTGTCCAAGGCCTTCAGATGTGGAGCTGGAGGGGTCTGGTGGAGCCCCTCTCCTCGGGAGTCTTACCCCGCCAAGCCTCAAGGAAGAGGTTACGTCCCTCCAGAGCACAGCAGGATGGGGCTGACCCTGGGGTCTGGCATGAGGCAAAGGAAAACACTTTCCCTTTGGAGAAAAGCTTAGGCTTCCCAGAGACACTACAGGGAGGTCATGACCCTGAGGTCAGAATTAAGGGACTTAGAGACCTCTCCCGCCGCAGCCCCTTTCTGGAGAGGAGGGGTGGTCTAGTCAGCGTCCTGGTCCGAGGGCCCTACCTGTGCAGGAGCTGGGCCGGCACGCAGGTCCTGGGGTGCCACCACCGCCCGCCCTCCAGGTGGGGCTGGTATTGACGGGGCACTGCTAACCAGGCATGGCCTGGCCTGCTAGGATGATCGCCTCCAGAGGCAGCCAGTGCCCCGCTCCGGGCCAGACGGACCAAAGGCACAGGGTGAGGACAGCCCTGGGGCGTCTGTCTGACCCACCTCTGAGAGGAGTGGCTTCAGCCAAGGGTGGGCTGGCCGCTCGGCCCGTGCTCAGGGCCGGCCGCTCTGCCCCTCCAGTGCTGTCGCAGGGAGGAGCCGCATCCCCCCACACCCCCCGCGCCAGCCCAGCTGCAGGGAAGGCTCAGAGAGGCCCCGCGGTGTGCCCGACTCCCACAGCACGCCGACCGTTTCCTTCCGGGAAGGGGCTCCGTGCATGCATGTGCTCCCTGGGCTTACCGTGGGGCCGACAGGAAGCTGGCCCGGGCTGGAGGAGCTGCTCTGGGGGCCATCCCACCAGCTGGGTGGGGCCGGGGTGGCCATGCAGCTGGGCTCCTGGGCCAGGCCAGGCAGGACTCTGGGCTCCGAAGGAAGGTTCATTCTGAGGTCCTGAGGCGAGTGGTCCTGGCTGGAGCCCACAGGGGCAAGGGCATGGGGAGCTCGGGACGTTAGCCCAGCATAGCCTGCCCGCTCACCTCCATCCTCTTCGCCCCTGCTGGCTCCACCTGCTGCCTGTGGGTGTCTGCTGGAACCCAGCCTGCAGCGGCTGGCTGCGGGAAGCACAGAGGAGTAGGGTCACAGTCACAGCGAGCGGTCCTTAAGTAGTGGCACCGGGGGCTGCACATGCTCAGTGGCTCCTTCCCTCTGGCTCCCTCGGATACGGGTCACTGGGTGTCTGTGAAGGTCTGGTGGTGACGTGTGTGAGTGTGTGTGCGTGTGTATGTGTGTGTGAGAGAGCGAGCGTGTGTGTCCGGATGGGCTGGCTCGGGCGCCTGGACGTCGGCGGAAGCCTCTGCTCTCCCCTGACCGGGTCTGCTCCCTCTCTCCCCTGCTCATCAAGAACAGCCTCTCTACCCAAGACCCCGGGGCCATCCAAGGGCAGGTGGCCTGCCACCTTGCCTTTCCAAGGTGGGACATGACCCCATGTCCGGCCCACGCGACCCGGTGGCGTCTCTACTACCACCCGCACAGGAGAGGCTGGCCACCTGTCCACTGAAGCAGCTGAGGGGGTGAGACCCAGCCCCCAGGCCTTTTCTTCTGTTGTTTTTTGTTTTGTTTTTTTGGAGAGGTTGGTTTTTTTGTTTTGTTTTGTTTGTGTGTGTGTGTGTGTGTTTGTTTGTTTGTTTGTTTTTTGCTATAGGGCGTGTGTGCTCACCAGAAAGACATAGACAGAGAGACAGAAAGTGAGAAATCACCCCCCAGGGGGGATGGTCACGCCGCAATCCCTTCTCCTCCATTCTCCT